AGAATCAATCTAAGCCCTATGTTAATGCCACGATTCCCACATTTTGTGTTTATTCCCCATAGTTATAAATAAATCGTTAAATGGCTCTTCAGACTTATAAATATAAGTGAAAAGAGACTTATCGTATTTCATCAGTGACACTAATAGAATATAATCTCAAATCAATATCAGCAATGATCTATGGACTGCTGAATGAAGGCCCCCGAAAGCTTTTTGTCATCTGCCTTGGTCTCGCGTTACAAAAATCCATACAACCCCTGGAAATTTTCTGAATTAATCAACCCCATCTCCATGGTTTACACCCTCTTGGATTCGTTCCCTCCTTTGCCTGCCACTCCATCATTAGACTTGACCACGAGCACCGGTCACCATCACTGAGAGAAGCGTGTTGCCCAAGCCCACTAACTTTACTCAACAGTCAACGTGATGTCGTCTTCAAGTCGCGTACGTGTTTTCGAATTCAGTCGTAAAAAAAAAATAACCCCAGCCTTAAAAACCTGAGCAAAGTCAATTGTGCAACGCAGTTGATGCAATCCACTTTCAGAATACGTCACCGCTGAGCGCTATATTTGGCAGTACATTGTTACGCCATAGCGGATGACATCATGCACAACAGGTGGCAGGACAGATGTGGATATCGGGAACTCCTACACAACACTGTAACCGCATCAGCCAATGTTCGTCTCTTTCATTCGCGCAGATCAACTCGGACTCTGGTGAGAAGTTCCATTGCTCACGCGGACACCGCGGTGGTTTCGGAGCCGTGCACAGCTGAACGTTTAAGCACCGTAGCTGGTGCGTGCGTCGTGACTGGTCACACCACCTTGGGGTAAGGTGGACATCAAAGGAATGAATGAAGTTTCACTTATCTTGACACAACAAACTTAACCAAATGCTTTCTCGCACGAGTGTAAGTGTGATTTTTTCCCACCCCTATTTTCAGAACCTTCCCTTTTAACAGAAAATAAATTGTATTATGAACACAGAGGTCTTTGCTTAACGGCATGCGAGAAGTAAACTAAGCTCATCTTGTGAAAACAATCTCCAAATAAACAATGTTTGTTTGACTCCGTTGCTACTGCAACCCATGGCTTGAACACAACTCCTCAAAAGTCATGACCCAATAGCCATGCAACAAAGCATGAATTGACAAAGGTGCAAAAACACCGACATTGACAGGAACGCTGTGGTCAACTCCAAACACAAATAAATGCAGAAACTACAATAAACCGTGCTTCTGCATATTTTATATATACGGCAGAATGCCGTGTCTTGTACCGTCACGTATGAATAAAATATTCGTGTAGTTAAATCTGCCCCTTGGCTTTCCAGACCAATATTTCACTTTGAATATGAATCCGAATTGAAGCTCGGCTCATACATGTTTCCATGCGTGAGGATTCCGGCACGCACGAGTTTCAAGTAAGCGATGGATGGGCAACACAAACAGCGATGAGTTTAACAAAGGACCACTCCCTTAGATCGTACGCAGAGCTCCTTTGCTGGGATTTTTTTTTCCTACTCAAACAAAATCTGGTTGCAGTAGCCGGGCTTGGCTTGCCCTGGGAGATTGGGGAAGGAAATGGAAAAAAAAAGAGGTGTTCACACTGCGCGTAAAAAAACAACGTCCATCCCTGCCTGAGAGCCCCATCCCTTTTTATCGCCCAGTGCTGCCCCCCCCCCCCCTTATGGCGAGCCAGCCCCCCCCTGGGGGTGACAAGGACCAGGAGGCGGGGGTCTTGCAAACGTAGCAGAAGCCGCAGCCTTGGGACGTCAATGGCATGGCATTAACACAGGAAGAGCGGAAACCTGCAGGTAGGTGTAGCCTTGAGAAAATATCCTGAAAATGTTTCGGTGTCGGAACATTGCTCTAAGGTGTCGCACGCATCCATACATTTTTTTTTTAGGCCCTGACATTTTTTTGGCCAGTCTATGTTCGTTTCTGTCTCGTCCTTTTTTTTACGTCTTTTTTACGAGTAAAGTCACCTTACTCAACGTCATTACATTTGCGTTATTGAACCAGGTGGCAGCCCCGTTGAGACAACCGATCGCTTTTACGAGAGACACCTGTGCGGTTTTGGTTGTTGATTGATCGATGGCATTTATTTCCTCAGACGAAAGCACACTGAGATTCATTATCTATTTTACAATGGACACTGTCACGATACAGAATGATGATGGCCGATGGGAAAGAATTGTAACAGTGGCAGACAAAGAATGGAAATGCGTCCACTGGGGAGATGGAGCCATGAAATCAGTTCGTGTGCAGGTGCCAGGTGGATTATTACATCGCAGAATCGCGACAGGTGGCGGCGGCGGCTTGGGAGGCCTTCATGCAGCAGTGGATGGACCATGGCTGATGATGATGATGGTTAATGAAGAGCCAGATAACATTTATTTATTTCAACTAATAAATTATCTGTTGACGATGCTGCTGCTGCTGCTGCTACCGACAGTGACAATGATGGTGATGCCATGGCTGCTGCTGCCACTGGCATTGATGATGCAATGAGTTGGCTGTAACTAAGACACACCATCACTCGTGGGCCTCTTCCTCTGTCTATCGCCTGCTGTGAAATTTGGAGTTCCTTGCTGAACTGTGGAGGAGGCCTCCACCACTCAGCACCGAGGCCTCTCCTCATCTGAAGTGACAGAATCGGCAAATCTGCAGCCAAGCACCACAAGCTATCTGCATCCTGTCCCGTGGATGCAAAATTTCCCACAATTATAACGCTGCGGCAGGAAAGCTGCTGGATGTTTGTTTTGTTAAATGTTTCAGATTTTTTTTTTGCCCCCCTTCTCCCTCTTGATATCCCTCGGAGACTGCGGCGACAATTTTCACCGACACGTAGCATTAAGCGGCCGCACAATTCCTCGCGTGTAGTTTTAGTTTACCGCAAAACACTGGGACTGTGCCATAACAAAAAAAATATTTATACTGTACATAATTTGACAGACATTTCACAGAAAGCCGGGTGGGTTAAACAACGTATTGCATTTGTTACGGAACAATAATATATAAATGTAAAAACATTTATTTCTTGACAAAATAACCTTTCCATTTGGTCGTGCTTTCCCACAGCCAAGTTTTGCAACGACCTGGGAAGTCTCAGCCCATAAAATCACCATTAAAATGAAAACCTGGGGGCTTTGGATGGCTCGCAGCACTTTGTAATGTAATCCTTCTAAGGAGACCTGACCCTCTGTGATTCAAACACTGGCGTGCCTGGCCAAAGGCCATTACAAGTACCGTGTAGCTGTAAAATCTATAAACTGGCGAGGTGCCTCTTAACACCAAGAGCCAGCGCAGTGATCAGAGCAAAACAATGAAACACACGGTGGGTGGTGTGCGGGGCACTGCCTTGACAGTTCCCCTGAATTATTCAGCTCCTCCTTCCCATCCTTTCACCACGTCACAGTCCCTGTGGCCCCTGCCCTTTACAAGCTGCCCCCTGCCCACACAGCCACCACTCCCAGTGTGCCCTGCCCTTTCCGCCTTCTTTAAAAGTCGTCGCCACGAAAGTTACATTTTCATTGTTGTCCTTAACGCCTGTGATTGCTTTTGGCTGACCCACCAATGTTTGTGGGTGTACATTTGTTCAACTTCTTTCGCACGGTACATAGCCAACCATGGCAATCGTGTGCACACTTGTTACTTTTCTCCAGATTGATGATCGCACCCGCCCTTCACTGCACGCACCGTGTAGCTGTAATCAGTTTGAGTACGCAAACTGTAAATGTTGTGGATTCACTCTTCAACACACCGGTGGGCTAAAGTAGTGAACTATTTGTCTTTTGTGAACGTGACACTTTTTTGCTGATTGGCCGTGTCGGGTGGTGGAGGGTTACGACGCATTTATAAATAACGCGATCTAACCCAAAAAGCTTTATTATGAATAATATTGGTCGCGAAAGCCTACGTGTTAAACTGATTATGTGTTCTAGTGTACGTTCAGAATATTTGATTGAAAATGTTCGTATGGATACTGAACCAATATAAGGAAACTATTAAGTAACCAATAACCAGCAGGAAGCCTTCGTGAGTAGGACACCCCCACCCCAACCTCCAGAGCGTGGCTGTGCCCCCACCACCAGCCCACTCCAGTGATGTCTGCCTCGGCATTTCTCACCGACCGGTTCTCCTACCTCAGTGTTCTTCATTACACGGCCGGGCCACTGTCGGCCCTTGGTGGTGGCCTTTAATGGAGCCCCTGACGTGCAGCCCCTGACAATGCACAACATGTGACAATACCCCTCCCCCTTGCAAGCGGTGTGGCGGCCCTCACATCGATATCTTATCGGCGAAAGTGGGCCACCCACCCCCCACCCCCCCTCTGAAAACGAGTGAAGAACAATGATTTAGCTTGTTTTGATATGTATTACAGTATTTTTTAAGTGTTGGGGAAAGTGCTGTTAGCAAGTAGCACCCGTGAAGGCCAACACAGCACACGACATCCACCACTCCCCAATCACGCTGCCGCTTATAACAACTTGTTTTGTCCACAGTTGCCAAGTCTCAAAAAAGTGCTAAAAACTCGCCCAGGAAAGGTCCCATATTGTAGCCGCTCACCCCAAGCTATAAATGCCCCGATAGTGCATTGTCTTTGTGCTGTTCGCCTTTTGGCGTCCTCTGGTCTAACACTTTGAGACTCGGCTCTAAAGAAAGCTGTCTCTGGTGTGGACCAATCAGTTTCAAAGACAATGCCATATATAATTATCAGAGCATGTGTTTTTGTTTGCATGTTAACCACAAGTACGTGTGGTTAATGCGGACAGGATTCCTTGAATAAGGATTCTGTTTGGTGTTTTAACATCTTGACACCTGTTTTATTGCCAGTAAGGGTAAAACCTATTGTTATAGCCCATGAGGCCTGCAGAGAAAGGGCCGTCGCATTCAGAGGAAGGGGTGGCCGGGTAGAACCACCCCGCGTGACCTCCAACCACCCCCTTGCTCCGGCGATGCCTGCCCCAGCATTTCCCCCACCGCCGGCTTCTCTCACCTCGTCGAGCTCCTGCTCGGAGGTACTGCCCAGCTGGGCGCGCTGCCTCTGGCAGTCCAGTCGGATGAGCTCGCGGCAGCGGTGGTGGCACGTGAACTTGCAGACTGCACTCGCGAGCGAGGGCGACAGCGCGCGCATTCACATTTAGTATAAGATGGCAGGTGTCGTCTCCGCGCATCAAATGTGAAAGTATCCTTTACACCACCCACCGGACCTACGGCCTTCTGAGAGTCAATAATTGCAGCAGTATTGATGCGGTACAAGCACGCAGTGTCTCATCATCAGCAGTCAGGCTGCCAGCCGTTGCAGGCAAGCACCCTTTCTCCTTAAGGGCCCTTGTTCAATACAAAATTATATCACAATAATAATTACTGTGTAACAAAAAAAATTGTGTTCCTTGGTTGGAAGTGTTATTTCCTAATTGCTTATGCCTCAAACGTACAGAAAATTGCTATTATTCCCCACTACTATTGCCATTACATTCAGTGATATACGGGCATTACGATTTACGAGTAACATTAGTACAAAAAACATGACTAAGGATTCTGTAATGTCTGGTACGGGAGGAGGTCCTTGGGGGTTGACACCATGAGTTACCATACTGGGTGACACAAACCCGAGTGACGCCACTATGTTGCACTTCTTTTGCACCGTACGTAACCAACCGTTCTAATCGTAATTAATTGAATAAAAAACCAGGACATGATGAGAATAAGAATATCTCACAACCCCTGAAGAGGGGAGATCTACATGTGAGCGCACTGCCTTGAGTGCACTATTATACAAATAAGTATTATGCCACAGACGAAAAGTGGGGCTTTTATTTCAGATGTTCTAGGACAGATACCCTAAACAGGGGACAATCAATTAAAAAACCAAGACAGATGGGAAAGCCAGGACACGTGGCAACTCTGCTCAGCAATTGCTAGGTAATTTAGAATGCAGAGAGGTTCCAGCATCATTGTAATCACCACACCAGTTTGCCCCTGTTAATGCTTGGTCAGTCATTTGACTCCCTCTTGTGGCCAAATTGTTATTACTCTGGTCAATGTGGTGGTCCATTGCTCCCTCTTGCCCGATCAACAATCCGCCGTTCTCTGGCTCAGCCGCATCTTGATTAAACTGGAGTCAGTGCCGGATTATCCTAGTAGCAAAAGTAGCTACATATGCTACAGGTCCTGCACTTTCAAGGGCCCCGCGCTAAATGCTTTCAAGCTATCAATTCCGGTTCAGTGATTCTGCACTTGCTCTATTACTATAGCACTATACCACCTTAAACTTTTATGAACGACTGGGTGTTTACGGTTAGCGATTTGAAGAATTATCTGGATGTATAGCAAATGAAAAATACAATTACTTTACTATGCAAATAAAACATTTATGTGTTTTAATATTTATGTTTTTTTTTATTTAGGGCCCCTTTATAACATAATGCTACAGGCCCCGCACTAGCTTAATCCGGCACTGACTGGAGTCATTGACCAACCAGCTGTCCAACTATCGCAGTACTGTATTTTTTATCAATTCACATTCGAATAATCGTTTACGCAATAACATTAAAACACGATGTTGTACTATGATGGTAGGGCTTTTATTTTTTCTATTTAGCGCGGCAAATGTAAATATTTGCCTAAACTGAAAAAGCCAGAACATAATTACGTATTTTTTTATGTAAGCTGTAAGATATGATACATTTGCAAATGTATAACAGTCTTCACTGTAAGACTGCCAGTACCTTAAGGGCACCACGGTGGCAAGATGTTAACTACCTCGCCTGGTATACAAGAGGTCGTGGGTTAAATCCCGACCCTGACGCCATGATATTTGGAGTTTTCGTGTCTCTCTTCCCGTGGTCGTGTGGATTTTTTGTCCGGGTCCTCCGGTTTTTCCCTCTACATTTAGAATCAACGTCACGCGTTTAGAGTATTTGGCTGCTATACATTTCTACATGATAAGCCACTTCGTTGAGCTATCATTTGTGGCCAGGTCGCTTCTGAAAAACAATTACACATCTCAGTGGGCCTTACCTGATAAAATAACAAGCAAAAAAACTTTAGTTTAATATCTTAAGTGAAGTGTGACACCAAGCGGTTCACTATCGGGGCAATGATGTTATTCCACTAGGGGGCAATAACGGCATGCAGTGTTTCGTGGAAGGTCTGACTCCTAAAGTCGATGCACGTTCCCATGCCTCAAGTTATATTTTGAAATCCACTTTATTATCATGACTGTATTATTAAAAGTGGTAATATCGTCGTCGTCATTAGCAGCAGTAGCAGCAGTATCAGCAGCAGTAGCAGCAGCATAAATAGCAGTGATATCAGTCGCAGCAACAGCAGCAGTCGGGGTGTAAAGAATCGCCCCCGGTGATTTGATGAATTATGTATCCCAATTCAGAAAAGCCAACTCGATTCAAGAACTCAATGTTTTAACAATGCAATGGTCGTAGTCTCGTGGTTGCAGGAGTCACATGAATCCATTACTCATTTGAATTAATAAAAAAACACGTTAATTCTTACACTCGCTACTCAATGCAGGTGTCCCTAGGTTAAGAATCAATACTAATTTAATTAATTGATGCAGCCTTCCACCTATAAATAGCAGCATCGCAAGACGCAGCGATCATTGACATTGTGACATCTTCCCCATGTTCAATCCACCACCTCCAGCCGTGTAATCTCGACTCCATCATATTCTAATCTATCATATTCTAACTCAAACCTCGGTTTATGATTTAATCAATCCACCTAAAATGTGATAGCCCTCGCCATTAATTTTCATACAGCAGATGTTTCATTAATCTACCATCATCCCCTCTAAAAGTAAGTTATCTTGCCAATACAATCATGAACACAATACATCAGTGTGCATTCGAGTGTAGTTAAACCTGGCTAATGTCAACTATTATTGTGGTGTGTGTTTACGTGCCCACTTGTCCTCAAGTAAGTTTAAACAAGGCAAAGGTGCAGGCCTGTAATTGTCTTGCTCACGCCACTGCTGGCGGACAGGCTGCCACGACAGGGAGCCCTCGAGAGCCCCTCTCGAGGGATATTTGGTCTACTCTTCCACGCAGGCCAAACGTCTTAGAATATGTAGGAGTGCCTACCTCTCCACTTTACCCCACCCCACGTGACATGACGGTTGCCTTGACCTGTGGCTATCCTGACCCATTCACACTTTTGGGTGGACAGAGGATGTGTGGGATTATTTTTTTAAACATGCACCAGCGTTTCAATTGCCGCAGCAGGAGAATGAACCGGCGATCTCCGGATTGCCGGGTCCAGTATCCTCACCAGCTCACCATTATGCAGCGTCATTCAGAGGTATACCGTGTGGCATTGTAAAAAGGGGGCTTCGTGCTCACTTGGTGTGACAGGGCTACAATCGTTTCACCAAGAGCCTGCACGGGCAAGAATGATGCCGCTGTTATCCTTTTCACTGTCGAGAAACTAGAGGACACAGCCATTCTGCAGAAGACAAGGGCAACGAGTCGGACATGTGCTAACACGATCGTGTCGACGATGATGTTGTTCACACAGCAATGGATTATGTTTGTACTGTCATCTTGATAAACTAAGACAGAGGCGGAGAGGTGGAGCGGTATCTTCTTTGGTTCTTTCGGTAAAGTCACGTAGAATGAGAATAAAATAATAAATTGATAAAATAAAATAACACAATAATATTCTCACGACGTTTCGGCCACAACACAAGCGGCCTTCATCAGGTGAAGGGACGAGACTGTCTGGTAGGACAGCGCTGGAGTGAAAGAGCCACGTTCAGATCACGACCTTTAAGCTGTGTGAGAGGAAACAAAGCGCCTTGACAAAGGAATTAGCATATAATTTAGCATTGAAATGGCTGAATGATTAGCTTGTGACTGGTCACAGAAATAGCTATGTTAAAAGTTAAAGCATACACATCCGCAGAGGCACCCATTGTTAAAGGAATTAGCATAGAATTTAGCATTGAAATAGCTAAATTCTTCAATTCATTTCAATGCTAAATTATATGCTAATTCCTTTGTCAAGGCGCTTTGTTCCTCTCACAGCTTAAAGGCCGTGATCTGAACGTGGCTCTTTCACTCCAGCGCTGTCCTACCAGACAGTCTCGCCGCTTCACCTGATGAAGGCCGCTTGTGTTGTGGCCGAAACGTCGTGAGAATATTATTGTGTTATTTTATTTTATCAATTTATTATTTTATTCTCATTCTACGTGACTTTACCGAAAGAACCAAAGAAGATGAATCATTGCAGTCACGAAAGCTTTAGGTGGTGCGGTAGTTAGCTCACTGCGCCATCAACTCGGTGGTGACTTCATTTCATTTCCATCCCCACGGCTAACATCGATGGTGAGTGATATTTAAACCGATGGTGAGTGATATTTAAACCGATGGCGAGTGAAATTTAAACCGATGGCGAGTGAAATTTAAACCGATGGCGAGTGATATTTAAACCGATTGTGAGTGATATTTAAACCAATGGTGAGTGATATTTAAACCGATGGCGAGTGATATTTAAACCGATTGTGAGTGATATTTAAACCTATGGCGAGTGATATTTAAACCGATGGCGAGTGATATTTAAACCGATGGTGAGTAATATTTAAACCGATGGAGAGTGATATTTAAACCGATGGAGAGTGATATTTAAATCGATGGTGAGTGATATTTAAATCGATTGTGAGTGATATTTATTTAAACCGATGGTGAGTGATATTTATTTAAACCGATAGTGAGTGATAGTTAAACCAATGGTGGGTAATATCTATTTAAACCGATGGTGAATGATATTTAAACCAATGGTGAATGATATTTAAACCGATGGAGAGTGATATTTAAACCGATGGTGAATGATATTTAAACCGATGGAGAGTGATATTTAAACCGATGGTGAATGATATTTAAACCGATGGAGAGTGATATTTAAACCGATGGAGAGTGATATTTAAACCGGTGGTGAGTAATATTTAAACTGGTGCTGGTCGGTCGTCCCCCATTAGCCTCATCCAGCAGTGGATTCAAAACGGGCTGTAGAAAATCGTTATCTTAAGCCAATACCAGAGAACATGTTAAATTATGAGAATACTCGTGTAGAGAATACTGTAA